TGGGGGGAAAGGTGGAAGAAGGAGGAAGAGAAAGAGTAGAGAAAGAGGAAAGGAGGGAGTGGAGGAGGAAGAGAAGAAAAGGATAGAGGATGGAGGAGAGAGTGGGACGGAGAGGAGGGGAAGATCATAGGGAGATGACAAAGGACAGAGAAGAGGGGAGGAGGAGGAGAAAGAGAGGAGAGAGATGGAGGAGGGAGAGAAGAAAAGGGTAGAGGATGGAGAAGAGGAGAGGAGAAAGAGGGAAAGGAGGGCAGGAGACGGGGGCAAGGAGCTAGAGAGAGGGATGGAGAGGGGGCGGAGAGGAGGGGGAGATAAGAGGGAGATGAAGTGGAAGCAGGGACAGGAAGAGGAGAGGAGGAGGAGAAAGTGGAGGAGAGGGAGGTAGAAGAGACGAGAAGGGAGAGGAGGAAAGGAGTCGGGAGTAAGGACAGCGATAGAGGGAGGGAAAGAAGGAGGAGAGGAAGAAGAGGAGAGAGCGATGGAGAGGAGGGAGAGATAAGAAAATGGAAGCAGGGACAGGTGGAGGAAGAGGGGAAGAGAGGAGAGGACAGAGAGGAGGGGGAGAGGGAGGAAGATGAGAAAAGGTAAGGAGAGAGAGAAGAGGGAGGAAGAAGAGGAGGAAGAGGAACGGAGGAAACGGAGGTAGAAGAGATGAGGACGGAGAGAAGAAAAGGATAGAGGATGGAGAAGAGGAGAAAGAGAGGATGAGGAGAGGGAGCGGAGGAGAGAGTGACAGAGAGGAGGGAGAGAAAGAGGAAAGGAGGAAATGGAGGTAGGAGAGATGAGGACAGAGAGAAGAAAAGGGTAGAGGATAGAGAAGAGGAGAAGGAGCGAAAGGAGAAAGGAAATAAGGAAAAGGAGGAAGAAAAGGGTAGAGGAGAGAGAGAAGAGGCGGGGGAGATGACGTGGGAGCAGGTACAGGTGTGGGAGCGAGAGAGGAAGAAAAGGAGAGGAGAAGGGAATAGACGGGAGGGAGAAAAGAGGTGGAGAAACTGCCGATCGAGAGTGAGGGAGAGGAGGGAGAGACGGGTGAAAGCAGAGGAAGTAGGAAGAGGAACGGAGGGAGAAAGGAGGAAAGGTGGAGGAGAGAAGAGGAGAGAGAGGAGTTATGGGAGACAGACAGAAGGCGAGGAGAGGCAGGAGGAGACAATAGAGAGAGTGAGAGGAAAAGAGGAAGAGGAGAAAGAAGAGGAGGAGTTTGCCGAGAGGAGGGGGGAGTCCTTTCTTCGCGGCTCCTCCATCCTTCACTCTGAGATATGGCCCCTTTAAACGGCTGTTATAGCCTCATTTATCAAACCAGATCCACTTTAACTGTGTCAAGGTTGAATGGAAATGGAAAACGCATTTCTTTAAGAATAAATTAGAAAATAAACAATATTAATATTTAGATTACTACTATTACTATAGGTTTATCAGAAATACTCCAGTTTGCAATATTCACCAATACGGCTTATTTATTTATTTGTTTTAACATTACATTTTAAAGTAGTTAGGATTTGCTCGCTTAACGGTAGGTGGGTACTTTTTTTATTTAACCAATCGCTGCTATTTGGTCGTGACGTACAATGTCGACAATGATCATTTATATATAAAGAAGGTCAAAATCCTATGACTATAGTAATCTGACCTCCCAATATGTTTATTATAACACAACATGACTAAATTCAAGGTCGTTATTCTTACAAACCATTGCCTAAATTGACATTATGATTAAGGATTATCTGAACATAGCAAAATAAAAACCATGACAATGTGAAATACAATATAAAAAGTGACAAGATTGCTATGTACAGTATATTCAATTTTAGCAATAGGTTACGTTTACACAAAATACCAAGTCGTTATCCATCAAAACATTCCTTAAAATACCTTAAAAGAAAGTGAATATGTAGCAATATATAATTAAATTTAATTACATGAGAAATAATGATCAGATAAGTAACTACTAAAGGAAAAAAGTACGGGGAGTCAAAATCCTGTAGGGGGGGGGTCACTTTACTACAGCGGTATGTTGACCCCGGGGTTAATATATACTATGGGGGTCAAAATACTATCTCACACTGGCTTTAAATCCTCGATGTCGGGAATCGTTGCCAACACAGAATGTCTGTCTTCGTCTACATTCATCTCGACGCTTTGTTTACTGTTGTGTTGTTCCACAAAAGGGACACAGATGCTTGAGTTTGACGTCTTGGCTTCACAGCTCTTCACCGATTGGCCGGTGCGCGGTCTACAACTTCTAGAGTTCTTGCAAATCGTCTAGTGCAGGGGTGTCAGACTCATTTTGGTCCGGGGGTCGTATCCAACCTACTTTGATGCCAAAGGGGCTGGATCAGAAAACTCATGTCATATAAACCCCAAAAATATCAATAAGTTCAAATATTTGTGCAGAGAAACACAAATCTATTACAGAAATCTTTTTTAATTGATGAACTATTTCTTTTACAAAATATTATAATATTATTAACAACCTGAAACTTTAAGAAAATGCAATTTCAACACAATGTTTTAACATTAACTTGTATGTAAATAGGAATAAGTCAATTTTTCTTGGAAAATCCTGCACTCGGCTCCACTTTTCTCATTTTTGACATTTTTCTGATGAGGGTGTCACGGTCAACAGTCAAAACGATCGTCCTTTAAGAGCGTTTGGAAAGAGACAAGTCTTCATTTGTGCTGCTCTGGTGGGAGGGGCCACGTACAGAGACGCTGGAGACGCTGCTATGATAAACACCACAGAAAATTAACAATATTTTAATAGAAAATATAATTACAATATTTTAGCAAAAAATCAACCGAGGGCCAGATTAAAGGTCTTGGAGGGCCGAATCTGGCCCCCAGGCCGTATGTTTCACACCTGTGGTCTAGTGTATTCGGATTCCTCACCTAGTTGCATCTGTTTGTTTCTACGGAGATGTCATTGCTCTGTCTGGAATGTTCCACAGTATGACATTAAAACAGATATACTTTACATCTATTAATTCAAAGAACGTCTGTCTGTGTGTGTGTTTGTTTGTTTGTTTGTTCCATGCATAACTCTCAAACCGCTCATCCGTCCGATCTCAAATTCAGAGGGTGTCATCCTAATGAGACGGGTGTGTGCAGTGCCATTTTTCATGTTGTTAGGATAAAAAATGCCAAAGATCTGGTTTATTCAATTACAGGCTAAAAAATATCTAGAAAAACAGACGTTCTGTCTGTAAGCGGGGTCGCCTCTCCACAGATCTGACCTATAACTCTGTCTGTTTGGTCTAAATGAAGATAGAAAGGTTTACTATGAAACATTACAGACAAAGAAATTACGTCTCCATGGTGACACGGATTTGATCGACCCTCTCCTGAAAAGTTACACATTGCTCCTTTTAAATAGTACATGAACAATACACTTTTTAATACTGTTTTGATTTTAAATTGAAAGTACAAATTCTTTAAAAATAAAATTAATGGGCGACAATGTTCAGTTCAGTGTAATACTTAGTTTAGTTATGGATTAATTCAATTTCTATCTTTAAAACTGGAATTTGGTACTTTTTTTTATAGAATTTTACACACATGCAGATATTTGTTAGTCCAAAAACACTCCGGCCACAAGGGGTCAGTGAAAAACAAAATACAATTCTTCAAATTCAACTCAAGTTACAATACACAGCTCATAGGTTAATTAATAATAACAGACTTGCATTAATTACTTCATATTGTTATAGTAACAGTCGTAGTCTCTCATGGTCTTTTCTGATATTTTTGACAATCCTACAAGATAATTTTGCATTTTTTTGTATTTTTTGCAGACTTAATAAAATACAATACGATTGCAAACCATTTTATGCAGCTTTATTTACAGTTTCATGTTCTAATTTCTTCTTCTTTTGTTCGATTTATTTATTTATTTTTTCTTTTTTTGGCCTTACAGTAACATGCAAAACGCAGCCAGCCGCCCACCCCCCGCTCCGCCTCCCTCCGACAGTGAAGCGTGTCAAATACTCATTGTGCCGGTGAAAGGGATTATGGGAGCTGGGGGGCTGCAGAGCGTTCCCATGGCGATAGGCAGAGTGGTGATGTCGTGGTAATAATTGGACCAGAGTGCATGTGTGGCAGTGGTGACAGGATGCAGACCGGTGCTGCTCTAATTTACGTTGGATGTGGAGGAGAGAGTTAGAATATGTGCGATTGTGAAATTAACTGTATAACTCATAAATCAGGAAATGTTAGGACCCGATTTTTTCCATATACTGAGCAAAGGCGATGTATTGTGGAGATCTATTCCGTACCAACTGTGACAATGATCATTGGACCCAAATTAGAAGGAAACTCCTCATCACAGGGATTAAAGAACGGGTATAGCGTCTCAGTGAAGGTAGCATTTCCTCAATTCTGTTTGCATCTCTAAAATATCTCAATAAATATTGTATTGTGAAATTAATATCGTGACAATTTCATACTGTAAGATTTGCATATTGTTACATTCCTACTTTATAGCTGTCATGTTGTAATTTTTAAAAATGTTTTGTTTCATGCTTAAATCCTAGGAGTTTATATTTTGCTAATTATCAGAAAAAACATGGGAGACTTTATGTACAACTCCCTGTCTTCTGATCAACGAACACCAAATGTTACACTATTCCCCACTCTCCTTAAATACTTACTTCTGTTTGTTGAAGACGATCTGAGAAGTGTGTTGCTGTTTGCTCAAACACAGGCACAATGCAAGTTTCACTTTTGTCATGACTTCTTCTCAGACAGTGTCCCAATTTAAAGAGATCGATGGATGACACCAAGTCCTCTTCAGGCATGTTTTTGATGGGGGAAAGCCAGAACGCTAAACATTTTAAATTAATAAATGAATAAAAAATGTGCATAATTTCCCCTCGTAGAAGCAGAATTTGAGAGAGCAAAACAGTTTCAAAATTCTGACTTAAATCTCCCTCATGCAGGACGTCTCAAAGTGTGGGGTTCAACCATAACTGGAGAGTGAAATCACTGACTCAAAAAAATGGACTTCATTGTTTTAGCTCAAGGAAACATAAGTGAACCTTTATTCATTACACAATGGAGAAATTACGAAGTATGAATGTGTATTACAGAAAATACAGTTTAGCAGCAAGTAAAAACATACAAACTTTTTCATAATACATCGTCAGTTTCTTCTTTTTTCACTTTTGATTGACAGGAACGAATCACCATTGCCCCGAGATTATGTCCCAGTTCATTGTTACAGGGGTTAAAATAAGGATGTAACCTTTGCAGAAAATGCACAGCTCTATTCCTGACCGACTGGAACAAGGATCATTGGACCCAAGTTAAAAGGAAACTCATCATCACAGGGACCAAGAAATGGATACAACTTCTCAGTTGAAGACGCATCGAGTGAATGAGTGAATACATGTGGCTGTCTTCACGTCAAAGAATGAGACCAGACCTTTGTCATAGTCCACAAACACTCCAACCCTCTCCACTTTTCCATTGTGCACCGTCACTTCAGGACAATTGAAGAGGGTAAACTCATCAACTTCAAAATACAGAGCCCACACCCCACAGCCTTTTCTTCGGGGAATGCTTTTAACTTTTGGCACTGATTCTTTTGCCACTCCTAGAACCCACTCATCCTTCTGCCCCACGAACACCTCAAAGTAAAATCTCCCAGAGGAGAACCCTCTGTCTGTCAGAATATCATAGGAACCAAGGAACCTCCTGGAGTTGTCTGACTCAGGGGCCAGTCTTCCTCTTGGGTTGAACCTGACCTGTTTCAGATCCTGGGACAGGTGGAGTTTGGGGTGAGCAGTTTCAGGGTCCAGCTTTAAGTCAACGGCAAATTGTTGCACACGTCTCAGAGCCAACCACTTTTCATCTGAAAACAAACGGATTTCTCTGTCCAGTTTCTTCAGAAAGTCCTGGAGCCGAGATGTGCAGATCTTCAAAGTCTCCCTCTCCTTCAGCTTCTCCTCTCTGAGGCTCAGAGGGGGCTGTGCTCTGCTCTGCTGCAGGGACATGTGTGGGAGGTTCTGGATGAACTTGACTGGGTCTTCTGTCTGTTTGAGCTCTTGGAGTTTAGTTTGAGCCTCCCACAGATCTAAGATCTTCAGTTCTATCTCTTGGGCGAGAGCCTCCGCCTCAGAATCAGCCTGTTGTTGCTTCTTCTCCAACTTTAGGACCAGCTCTTTGTGGCTTCTCTGAATGTTGGACAGAAGCTCCTGGAGGACCCTCTCGCTGTGAGCAATCTCCTGCCTGGTCTCCTCTTGTCTTTGGGCTGCAGCCTCTCTGATGGAGCGGACTCTCTGGACCTTCTCCAGGATCATAACAGTGATTTCAGCCTCAGTGGAGTCCAGCTCAGACCTCATCTCTCTGTAGGCGGTCTTCAGAGGGAGGGTCCTGTGTTTGTGGTGTGCACCCTCACAGCTCGCACACATCAGGACCTTCTCCTCAGAGCAGTATGACTGCAGCAGCTGCTGATGCTCAGGACACACTCTGCTCTGCAGACCTGCATCAGGAGAGACCAGTGTGTGTCTGCGCAGCCCCGGGGCCCTGTGGTGAGGCTCCAGGTGAAGGGAGCAGAACGAGGTCAGACACTCCACACAGGACTTCAGCGCCCCCTGCTGTGGGGCTGTGCACACGTCACACAGGACTCCAGTCTGGAGCTCCTGTGTCTGAGGCTCCTCTGTCAGCTGCAGACTGGAGAAGCTCTGGGTCAGACCTGAGATGAAGGTGTTGACTCTGAGTTGTGGGCGCTGGCTGTAGCTCTCCTTACACACCGGGCACACAGTCACCGGGCTCTGGTCCCAGTACGATGACAGACACGTCATGCAGAAGTTATGTCCACAGGGAGTGGACACCGGCCGCACAAACAGCCCCAGACAGATGGGGCACAGCAACTGCTCCTCCAACACAAGAGAGGGCACCGATGCCATTTCTGCACAGAGACACAGGCACAGTTTTAAGCACACGCTAATAAATACTGCAGACTTCTTCAGGCCTGTTGACTAACCCCTGGCTCAGACTGTACACCGTGTGGTGAGGTGGTGCCAGCGCAGGGGTATTTTTGCCTGACCACTGTAGCCTTTTCCCTTAATAAATGAATCATGTGTTTGCCCTGGTGGTTTCATGTGGACTAACACAATCACACACGCCTAGTGACCTGAAAACAGCTCCAAAGAGTATAATACTACTACTACTACTACTACTACTACTACTACTACTACTACTACTACTACTACTACTACTACTACTACTACTACTACTACTACTACTACTACTACTACTACTACTACTACTACTACTACTACTACTACTAATACTACTACTACTACTACTACTACTACTACTACTACTACTACTACTACTACTACTACTACTACTACTACTACTACTACTACTACTACTACTACTACTACTACTACTACTACTACTACTACTACTACTACTACTACTACTACTACTACTACTACTACTACTACTACTACTACTACTACTACTACTACTACTACTACTACTACTACTACTACTACTACTACTACTACTACTACTACTACTACTACTACTACTACTACTACTACTACTACTACTACTACTACTACTACTACTACTACTACTACTACTACTACTACTACTACTACTACTACTACTACTACTACTACTACTACTACTACTACTACTACTACTACTACTACTACTACTACTACTACTACTACTACTACTACTACTACTACTACTACTACTACTACTACTACTACTACTACTACTACTACTACTACTACTACTACTACTACTACTACTACTACTACTACTACTACTATTACTAATAATACTACTACTACTAATACTACTACTACTACTACTAATACTACTGACTAGGATCAGGATTTGACAAGGAAGTTTTGTTTCCTGTTTAAATTCTAGGAGTCAACAATGATCAACTCCCTGTCCTCTGATCAATAATCCTCCTCACCAACACCAAACGTTACATTATTCCTCATTCTCCTCATTGCATTTGAGTTAAATACTTACTTCTGTTTGTTGAAGAAGATTTGAGAAGTGTTTTGCTGTTTACTCAAACACAGGCACAACGTAAGTTTCGCTTTCGTCATGGCTCATTCTCTTAAAGAGACAGTGTCCCAATTTAAAGCAGACAGAAGAGCACAGAGAAATTCAGCCACTATAAGGTATTCTGTCTTGTCCACGTAATTAGAATAGAACAGAATGGAATAGAATAGAAAGTCTTTATTGTCATTATATACAGTATAATGAGATGCAGAGCTGCTCCTGTAAAAGTGCACACAAATTAACAGTTCTCAGTGCAAACTTGAGTTAAATATGGTGACAGTTTTGGGAAAGAAGCTGTCCCTAAGTCTATTTGTTCTGGCTGGTATGGACCTGAAGCACCTGGCAGAAGGCAACAGGTTGAAGAGGTGGAAGCCGGAGTGTGTATTGTCCTTTGTCCCTAGACCTGCTGACACAGTGGGAGTTGTAGATGGTGGATATGGAAGGCAGAGGGCAGCCAATAATTAACTTCATTATTAATGTATTATTCATTATTCATAATTTTATGTTGCACCATAAGTTCCAGTTTGTGAATTTTGTTCACTGATAATGGCAGTAAAACTTAGGATAAAGTAAAGTGTTATTTGATTTTTTTTTCTATGGGGTATTAACTACTATCACATAACATTTAGATCACTATGTTGCCTTTTAGTGTTTTCAAAAACAGCATATAATGTATATAAGTTTCAACTGACCTCTCCTGTAGTTTTGTATATTTTTGGAGAATTGTCGTGTGGGAGCATGGGTGACACATGCATTTATGACATCTAAGTCCGTTTCAGGCATGTTTTTCTTTATGAAGGAACAACATTATAACATGGCAGAAAGCTAAAATACTAATAATAATTTGCACAATACCTCCAGAATTTGAGAGAGAAAAGAAAGTTTCAAAATTCTGACTTAAATCTCCCTTATGCAGGACTTCTCAAAGTGTGGGGTTCAACCATAACTGGAGAGTGAAATCTAGGGCTGGGTATCATTAAGAAGTTGCCGATACGATACATACCTCGATACAGTGCACTTTTGGTTTGATACGATATATTTCAAATCAATTCGATACGGTTCAATAAAAAATAAAAGCTAAATCATGGCTCTGATACTAAAAGTGTTTGTTAAACCACTTCTTGTGTAAAGTTAATGTAAAAAATGCCCATTTTAATCATCAAAACAGTGAAAATGTCAAATATGTCGCATAAAAAAAGATTCATTCCTCTGAACAAGCAACAAAACTGTAGCTGTAACAAAATAATTAGTGAAAATATACCCCAAAATACTCTTTGATACATTGATACAGCAGCCCACGATATCAATACTGTATCATCACATTAAATCAGGCATGTCCAAACTGTGGCCCAGGGGCCAAATGTGGCCCTGAGACAAATTTTACTTGGCCCTCAGACTTCCAGATGAATTGGCCCAAATTACCTTGTATCAATAAATTTTTATTTTTTTTTTTTACTGCAAGTTTTTTGAAAATCTACCTTGATAAAGCTATTATTTAATATTTACTGTGTGATTTTAAGGATCTTATCATGAATAAAGACTGATGGCTCATTCTAAAACTTGCTAAACATGTTAAACATGCACACATTTCAATTATTCCCTGTACTGAGCACCAGTCTACGGTCCTGGATCTGCTTCGTCTGTGTTTAGATATGTGGCCCTTGATGAAAGAAGTTTGGACACCCCTGCATTAAATGACACAATATAGCGATATATCAATATTTTTGCACAGCCCTAGTGAAATCACTGACTCAATAAATTTTATTGTTGGACTTTATTGTTTTAGCTCATGGGAAGATAAGTGAACCTTTATTCGTTACACAATGGACAAATTACAAAATATGAATGTATATTACACAAATAAAAACATACAAACATTTTCTTAATACATCATATATATATTTTTTTTTCACAGATTGACAGGAACGATCACCAATGGCCCGAGGTTATTTCCAAATTCATTGTTACAGGGATTAAAATAGGGATGTACCTTTGCAGAAAACGCACAATCTTCAAACGTGTAGATCAATTTGGCCCCGTTTACGTCATAAAACGAAACTTCCCTCCCGTCATAGTCCACGAAAACCCCAACTTTCTCTATTTTACCTTGGTGAATTGGAACATTGGGTTGGGAAAACGTCTCGAAGTAGCTCATTCGAAAACACACGGCGTAAACTCCGCAGCCTGGAGCGTGCGGGATCTTTCCTTTTCGTTCCAATGACGCCAACGCCACGCCTACGATCCACTCTGTTTTTGTACCAACCAGAACTTCGAAATAAAACTTGCCAGACTGGATTCCACGCCCTCCCAACACGGCTAAATGTTTTGTAAACTTCGCCGGATTGCTCACTGGGCTTGGTTTAGCGTTTGCGTCAGGGTTGAATTTCACTTGTTTCAAATCTCGAGAGAGGATGAGGCGGTGGTGAGCGGTTTTCGGATCTAGCGTTACATCCATCGCGAACTGCTGGGCGTATTTTAAAGCAGAGATATCGGACATAAACCCTCCTCCCATGTTGTCTAGATAAACTTGCAGCTTGGACAGAGTAGTGCCTAGAGCTGTTCTTAGCTGCTGCATCTCTATCTCAGAATACAAGTTGACTTCTGGTGGTTTTTGAGCGAAATTGTGCGTGTACCTTTGCAAAAACTGCGCATCTTCGTTCAAATTCACATCCCGTAGTTTCATTTGAGTTTCCGTAAGATCTTTAATCTCTTTCTCAATTTCTCCAACTACTACCGCCACCTCAAAGTCCATCTGCTGTTGCTTCTCCTCCATCTTTTTCACCAGCGGAGTTAAATCTTGGATGGTTTTGGTCAAATACCCGGTTTGGGTTTGTCGTTGGGCTAGAGCTTGCCTGATCGACTGGACTTTCTGGACCCTCTCCTGGATCATGGAGGAGATTTTGGCGTCAGTTCCTCCCACTTCTGCTCTGAGCCCCCTGGACTTTGTCTCTTCCGCAGTGAGGGGCTTGTTCATGAAGCTCTGGGACAGTCCTGAGGAAAAATGTAAAAATAAAAAATCAGGATGAGTCAGTTTTATAAGCAATTACTATTTTAAATGTCACGAAGAATATGACTTTAAAGGTACACTGCGCAACATCTAGTGGAGGGTTTGCTACCGGAGCACAAGAGGTAAAATCTGAGGGACATTTTTACAGACACGGGACAAGAAAAAAAAGGTAAAATGAATGAATTTCGGGGTCTCAGTTGGCATCAGAGCGTTCTAGAGGCCAATAATATTTAATAGAGATGGGGAGCAGCAAAAGTAAATACAGTTAAAATGTACTTTTTTAGTAGTAGTAGTTTTATTTTTGCAGCACTACAAAACAAAACAAAACAAAACCAAACGTAGACTACAATCCCATGGCAGAGTCCTGCACCAATAGTACGAGTGTGGGCAATTAGTTACTGAAACGGGCGGGTTTTAACATTTTGGAATTTTACTGGGGGATATGCAGGCGGTAGTAATTATACACAGGTGGGTCAGGACTAAATCAAGACTAAATCAAGTTTAAATCAGGACTAAACTGGGACTACACCAGGAATACACCAGGTCTAAACCAGGTTTAATCCAGGACTAATCTTGGATTTAAGTGAGAGAGAACCCTGAGCCCGTGGAGCAGGGTGTCTGCAAAGTGCGATCGGGCGACGGCTGCGCTTAGAACTCTACGCCGATCCTTTCGCCTGCAGTCACTCGATGGTCTATGCGGGCGCACCTCCGGGCCCATTCTGACAGTGAGTCCTGGTTCAGTCCTGATTTAGTCCTCCTGGTTCAGTCTCGGAATCAGTCCTAGTTTAGTCCTGGGTTAGTCCTGTTTTAGTCCTACTTCAATCCTGGTTCAGTCCTGGTTCAGTCCTGGTTTAGTCCTCCCGGTTCAGTCTTGGAATCAGTCCTAGTTTAGTCCTGGTTTAGTCCTGTTTTAGTCCTGGTTTAGTCCTCCTGGTTCAGTCTCGGAATCAGTCCTAGTTTAGTCCTGGTTTAGTCCTGTTTTAGTCTTGGTTCAGTCTTGGTTCAGTCTTGGAATCAGTCCTAGTTTAGTCCTGGGTTAGTCCTGTTTTAGTCTTGGTTCAGTCTTGGTTCAGTCTTGGAATCAGTCTTGGTTCAGTCTTGGAATCAGTCCTAGTTTAGTCCTGGGTTAGTCCTGTTTTAGTCCTGGTTCAGTCTTGGTTTAGTCTTGGTTCAGTCCTTTAGTTTTAGTCCTGTTTAGTCCTGGTTTAGTCTGTTTTAGTCTCAGTCCTGTTTTAGTCTTGGTTCAGTCTTGGTTTAGTCCTGGTTTAGTCCTGGTTTAGTCCTGGTTCAGTCTTGGTTCAGTCCTGTTTAGTCCTGTTTAGTCCTGTTTTAGTCCTGGTTCAGTCCTGGTTTAGTCCTCCTGGTTTTAGTCTTGGTTCAGTCCTAGTTTAGTCCTGGTTTAGTCCTGTTTTAGTCCTAGTTCAGTCTTGGTTTAGTCCCCCTGGTTTAGTCTTGGAATCAGTCCTTTTAGTCCTGTTAGTCTGGTTTAGTCCTGTTTTAGTCTGTTAGTCTTAGTCTGGTTTAGTCTTGGTTCTAGTAGTCTAGTTCAGTCCTGTTTTAGTCTTGGTTCAGTCTTGGTTTAGTCCTGGTTTAGTCCTGGTTCAATCCGTGTCCGTGTGCGGCACTAAAGTTTGAGCATCTCGATCAGTGTTTCTTCTGCTCAGTAAATAAATGACAGTCGAGTCGCGTCTGTGAATTCGTGTTCCTGCTGAAGAAAGTGTAATCATTTAATTTCGTTATTATAATTCTTGAAGTCGTAATTTTTCAGTTCATATTCTGATGGATGCTTCAGTGAGAATGGTTTTAATTTGTGTGTGATTGATTACGGGCACGGGCGGGTAACGGGTGGAATGTTAACAGATTCAAGCGGGTGCAGGTTTAACTTTGATATAATCACAGTTTAACGGGCGGGTGCGGTGCTGGACTGTGCAGGTGCAGGCGGGTGCGGGTCTAAAAAAAGTACTTATAATGCCAAACCCTTTTAAACAATGACAGAATTCCAAGAAAGAAAGAAATGCATTTTTGTTGTAATATAGCAAGTGAATGGGTTTAATACTCAATAGAAAAGATGACATTAAAGATTTGTGAATAAACCTTTGGGGTATTTCATGACAGAATTCACATGCAAGAATCTGAAAACCACCAACAGCACCCTAACCCTAACAGTGCCCTGCCCCTGTGCCCGTGTACCTGAGATGAAGGTGTTGACTCTGAGTTGTGGGCGCTGGCTGTAGCTCTCCTTACACACCGGGCACACAGTCACCGGGCTCTGGTCCCAGTACGACGACAGACACGTCATGCAGAAGTTATGTCCACAGGGAGTGGACACCGGCCGCACGAACACCCCCAGACAGATGGGGCACATCAGCTGCTCCTCCGACAAAAGAGGGGGCGCCGATGCCATCTCTGCACGCAACAAAACAAAAGCATGTAATATAGTAACATGTGTCTTGGCCTAGTGCAGATTGCAAAAGCAGCTGTTCAGTTTGGTTACACACTTATCATCAGAAGTCCCACGAGTCAGAAAATCATTACCTCTTCTCTTGGTTTGTCAGCAACATTTCTCTTGAACAATTGAATGTATATTTGATGAAAGCAACAGGGAATAATCCCTGGATATCAGGGAAGAATTAGTAAACTTTTGGATGTTTACCAATTAAAAATGGCTGCAACATCAAAATTTTTCGAGATATTGACAGGAAAACGCATAATCATGCATAACAGCATTAGCTAAGCCAACATTACTTAATTTGTTGGTTTACAAACCCACCAATGCTATATTAAAAGAAAAAGATTTAAAATAAAATTGAAATGAAGGTTGTAGAGCTCGAATTACTGAACATTTTGCAAGTTGTTGCCTGAAAATCAGACAATTATTAACCCTGTTACACTTAAGACAGACCATTTCCACCCAAATCATTATTTCCTCAAACATTTTTGCTGTATTTTAAAGGTTTAATATATTTATTACTTTTAATATTTACTTTTTTAAATATTTAAAACTTGAAATACAATTTCATTTGTAACAATTTGTAACACTACCTGAGCATAGATTTTCTGACTAGAGGCTCTTCTGATGATAAGTCTGACCCCGTTCAGTTTAGGGTTGTCAAAAGTATTAAGTTTTTGCATCTACATCACAAAAGCACATGACCTGTTGTTTATGCCGCCGTACTGGAGGTTAGACTATCTGTTTGGACCATCGTGTAGTATTTTTGTGTGATAAAATAAGAAGGACGCGCTGTGTGGTCCTCACTTTCACCGTCACGGAATCTCACCCTCAATTTCCACCGCCCGGGGCAGCCACGGTTCTGATTTTGACCAGGAACGCGTGACGTCTTGGTGATCAACAAAGATCTCACGCATCCCGTTAAAAAATATTTACAAGCCTCTAACCCTTTGTCCACTTGTAACTTTTCTATTCTTGGTTGGTGTAGAACGATGCAGAATGAATGAAGTAGTTGTAAATATCTGGAAATTGGAGGTCGGGCAAAGCGTGCGTCGGAATTAGATCGGGACCTATTCCACAACCCAGGAGGACGACTTCAGCGTTATATCTTTCTAATGACGGCTGATCTAACGAGCTGGTGATTTTGGACAGTTTTATGTTGTTTGCGCTGTTTAAAGTCGCCTTGATTATATTGTAGTAACTGAATAAAACCTCCCCGATCAGCCCCAACCTTGACCTCCAGTGTGGCCGCCAAAACATTAAGTCAAAGCACAAATCCTTAAGAAAAAGTCAAATACTAAAAATTTTATCGAAACTAGGTACCCATTTAACATTTTAAAAAAAGTCACAGAAAGACAGAAATTAACCTGAATACCTTTTAAAAAGAAAATACTATGATTTAATGTTGAAAATCACATTCTATTGTCATTTTATTATCATCGTGGTATCAGAATTGGTATTGGGTATCGAGTTTATAGGCTCACCTGTCAATCTCGTTATTAACGTCACTACTTCCTGTCCAGTTTTTTCTCTTATCTCTCATTTTTCGACACTTTTGACAACTCTAATCTCTACTTTCTTACACCTCATGCCCAGTGTAACACAAAAACACACACTGATACAAAAAACACAGTATTTTAATCTGTATACATGACATTTAAAGGTGCATTGCGTAACTTTTCTGTAAATATTTTATCGTTTTTGTCTGGAATGTTTCACAGTACGACTTTAAAACCTTTCTATCTTCACGGAAACCAAACCAGACCAAGTTACAGGTCAGATCTGTGGAGAGGCGACCCCGCTCACAGTCAGAATATCTGTTTTTCTTAGTATTTTTAAGCTATAAAACTAGTTCTAATTGAATAAATGTAAAGTAGAGCTGTTTAATGTCATACTGTGGAACATTCCAGGCAGAGCAACACATGACAAATCTATAAAAACAAACAGGTGACGTGCCCTTTGCCAGAAAAGTTACATAATGCAGCTTTAAGCCATTTAAGACGATCTGTTTACCTGTCTAAATTACCGTTGTTTTAATTGGGACACTGTTAATTCTTTCCAACTAAACTACAAATCCTTCAGTACTGTATAAATAAACGTTTAAAAATTACCTGCTCAAACGTCTTCGAGGTGGATTTTTCGGCAGCTCTCACCTGAGGTCTGATGTGGTTTGACCAGATTCTCAAACTTGCTCTTCCTGTTTGGCTTTTAAAGAGACACACACACGCACCTCCCAGATAAGATTACATAACACAGTAACTAGTGTAAAGGTCCTAGATGGCACATAAAGACTCTTGTGAGCTTTAAGTCATGGTATAATGTTGTAAAACATATATATAGTTCTGTTTTTTCCATTCATACTTGTTTTGAGTAATCCTTTATTATTACCGTATTTTCCACGCTATAGAGCTCCGGGAGCTGATGTCATACCGGCTCGTCAGGCACAAGGTGTCGCCATTTTGGCAGTAATCGGCAGATCCGACTCCAGCGCAATAACAGACTGTTCTCCAGACGCAGCCGCGATTCATTTCCGAATTATTTTGCCAACAATTTTCCAATACAGATAATGTAATACACAAAGATCAGAGCAAGAACCAATGTGCGAACGTGTGACTCCAAAGTAGCAAACAGCATTTGTTATTTTAGGCTTATAATTAACCAAATAATTTTATGGAAATAGGCAATAGCTTATTCAATTGATTCAACTTTAAAAATGTCCTGCTTTTAGCCTAGTGTGAGAAATGCTACAGTCGGACTAGATCCAAACCAGAGTCCTGAACCAGCGGGAGAAGCTCCGGTTCAGGCCGGGCTCAGAGGAGCTACAGCGGGGAGTGGTGTCAGGAGCCTTGGCCTGACAAGAACGTTCCCCAGGAACAAAGAGCGCGGAGGTCGGACGCTCAGAACAACATATAACCCACCAAACTATTCACGCTTCTGTCCGGATGCTTTGCATCACCTCGGAACCAGCCGCAGTTCTTGACCGCCGGAGCGAACTGTCCAGACCTGTAGTCCACAGTGCATTCTCGCTTTTCCCGCACGGAACCAGCGTGCAGACGATGACACGGAACAGCTCAGACCCAGCCCATCAAGCACTGGTCTTGCTCGCTACCGTCTGGAACCAGCACATGGAGGACGGGGCCTCCGGACCAAGGACCAGACCGCAGACCCCGTCCTGAGGGATCTGAGCTGCGGTGAGGGCTCCTCTTTATCGCTGTTGCTGCTGCTGTTACCCGTGCTTTTGTGTTTTACGAGTTCATGATGACTCTTGAGATGAGGATGTCCCGTGGTCTTAACAGGGAACATCTGTGTTGATAATTGGAGGTATTGCTGTTCTAGCAGGAAACAGAGGCATGTCAATCGGACCAATTTTGGTTCATTTGGCGATGTACTGCGGATCTGGGACGTCTTCTTCAGCGGAAATATTTTTAAAAAACACCCCCGGGGCATTATACGGTCAATGTTTAATCCATTTAATTTTGATCTGAAGCTCAATGTCTTGTGAATTAAAGTGAGTACTCCGATGGCTTGAAAAATTCAGCGGTGGCGCTATCCATTTTTACTGCCAAAATGGCGGCCCGCAGCTACATTTTACTTTTATTTCAGTAGAGATTAGCTTTTCCAAGAGCTGAAATGATCCAATTATCCAGTGAAGGTGTATGGAGTTTTAAAACACGGTGGAGCACTCCCTGGATCACCACATGACATCACAAGGGGGAACAGAGTGTTTTCTGTTTGAGAGAAAAACTCCAGGTCTGTTTGTGATGAGAAAACATTAAAACATAGATCAGAAAATAGTGTAAATTGTGCCCTTTAATGTTCTCCAATATGTTTTTTTTATTTTATTTCTTGCTTGTTTAATTTTATTACTTTGCGCGGAGAAAAAAATACCCTACAAACTCTCATTCCTACTGTGAGCGAGCTTGCCTCTCCGCAGATCTGACGCAGCAGCTCGTCTCCATGGAGTAAAACAGGTGGCGCCGTGTAACCCAGAAAAGTTGTGTAGTGCGGCTTTAAATCAGCTCAGGTGTGTATTTTCAGAACAGACTGTATGTTACTCCTGCCCTAGTTTCTTCCTTTCAAAACTCCCCTGTCAGTGGTTAACGACACCTGCCCTCTCCTCTCTTCTCTCTCTCTTTCTCTCTCTCTCTCTCTCTCTCTCTCTCTCTCTCTCTCTCTGTTCTCTCTCTTTCTCTCTCTCTCTCTCTCTCTCTGTTCTCTCTCTCTCTCTCTCTCTCTCTCTCTCTCTCTCTCTCTCTCTCTCTCTCTCTCTCTGTTCTCTCACTCTGCTCTGTTCTCTCTCTTTCTTTCTCTCTCTCTCCTCTCTCTCTATCTCTCTCTTTCTCTCTCTCTCACTGCTCTCTCTCCTCTGTTCTTCTCTCTCTTCTTCTCTTCTCTGTTCCTCTTTCCCTCTCTCTCTCTCTCTCTCTCTCTCTCTCTTCTCTCTCTCTCTCTTTCTCCTCTCTTCTCTCCTCTCCTCTCCTCCATTCTCTCCCTCCCTTCTTTCTCTCCTCTCTCTCTCTCTCTCTTCTCTCTCTCTCTCTCTCTCCTCTCTCTCTCTCTCTTTCTCTCTCTCTCTCTCTCTCTCTCTCCTCTCTCTCTCTCTCTCTCTCTCTCTCTCCTCTCTCTCTCTCTCTCTCTCTCTCTCCTCTCTCTCTCTCTCTTCCCTCTCTCTCTCTCCCTCCCTCCCTCCATCTCTTCCCTCTCTCCCCTTTCTCTCTCCCTCCCTTCTCTCTCTCTCTCTCTCTCTCTCTCTCCGGTCTCCCTTCTTCCCTCTTTCCCTTTCTCTCTCCCTTCTTCCCTCTCTCTCTCTCTCTCCCTCCCTTCTTTCCTCTCTCTTTCTCTGCCTCCCTCTTTCCCCTTCCCTCTCTCTCCTCCCTCCCGCCTGCCCTTCTTTCCTCTCTACCCTCACTCTCTCCCTCTCTCCTCCTCTCCTCCTTCTCCCTCCCTCTTCTCTTTCTCTCCTCTCCTTCCTCTCTCTCTCTCTCCCTCCCTTCTTCCCTCTCTCTTTCTCTCTCCTCCCTTCTTCTCTCACTTTCTTTCTCTCTCCCTCCCTCTCCATCCCTACCTTCTTCCCTCTCTCTTCTCACCACCCTTCTTCTCTCTCTCCCTCCCTCTGTTCTTCCCTCTTTCCCCTTGCGTTCTCTCTCTCCCTCCGTTCTTTCCTCACTCTCTCTGTCTTCCTCCCTCCCTATCTGTTCTCTCTCCCTCTTCTCTCGTACTCCGTCTCTCTCCATCCCTCTCTCTTTCTGTAGCAGTATTACAGACTCCTCTCCTCCTCTCCCTCTTTCTCTCCATCCCTCTCTCTCTTTCTGTAGCAGTATTACAGACTCCTCTCCTCCTCTTACTCTCTCTCTCTTCATCCCTCTCTCTTCTGTAGCAGTATTACAGACTCCTCTCCTCCTCTCCCTCTCTCTTCATCCCTCTCTCTTTCTGTAGCAGTATTACAGACTCCTCTCCTCCTCTCTCTCTCTCTCTCTTCATCCCTCTCTTTCTGTAGCAGTATTACAGACTCCTCTCCTCCTCTCCCTCTCTTCATCCCTCTCTCTTTCTGTAGCAGTATTACAGACTCCTCTCCTCCTCTCCTCCTCTCTCTTCATCCCTCTCTCTTTCTGTAGCAGTATTACAGACTCCTCTCCTCCTCTCCCTCCTCTCTTCATCCCTCTCTCTTTCTGTAGCAGTATTACAGCCTCCTCTCCTCCTCTCTCCTCTCTCTCTTCATCCCTCTCTCTTTCTGTAGCAGTATTACAGACTCCTCTCCTCCTCTCCCTCTCTCTCTTCATCCCTCTCTCTTTCTGTAGCAGTATTACAGACTCCTCTCCTCCTCTCCCTCTCTCTCTTCATCCCTCTCTCTTTCTGTAGCAGTATTACAGACTCCTCTCCTCCTCTCTCCTCTCTCTTCATCCCTCTCTCTTTCTGTAGCAGTATTACAGACTCCTCTCGTCGTCTGAGTCAGATTTAAACCTCTCTCTTTCTGGAGCAGAGGAAATGCATTAGTCCAGCCCCAGAGAGCTGCTCTAAGCCTCTCACTTCACTTAAATACTGACACGGGGATAACAAGGGCTGAAAGGACCGGTCCACCGCTTATTTTTAACATTATAATTTCCTTTTAGCCGCGCCGACAAACACACGTAACCTGGAAATAAAAGAAAAGTCATGCGAAGACTGTAAACCAGGGGTGTCCAAACTTTTTTCATCAAGGGCCACATTTCTAAACACAGATGAAGCAGAGGGCCGATCGAGGGCCGTAGACTGGTGCTCAATACAGTGAATAATTGAAATATGTGCATGTTTAACATGTTAGAATGAGCCATCAGTCTTTATTCATTCTAAAATCCTCAAACCACACATTAAAACTTCAATATTGGCTTTATCAGAGTAGATTTTCAAAAAACTTGCAGTGAAAAGTTCATTTTTAATTGATGCAAGGTCATTTGGGCCAAATCACCTGGAAGCCTGAGGGCCAAGAAAAATTTGTCCGAGGGCCGCATTTGGCCCACGGGCCGTAGTTTGGACATGCCTGCTGTAAACTAAACATAACGTGGAGATACGTAAAGAAAAACTGACAATATCGCGTTATGGAGATACGCAAAATTTTAACAATTAAAGCGGACAAATAGACGTAGGGTTGTGGAACTTCTGGTTAATGGTTTTCTGTGCCAAAACATCTGTGGAAATGTCTCGCATATTTTCCTCCAGCTTCATAAATCTGCCCGAACGCCAAATCTTCAACCAACAAGATCGACAAAGGAAGGACAAAAGCTTAAAGGTGAACAAAGACAAGCATTGGTGAACTGGGTCAAAAGTTTTAGAACATCCTAATTTTTCCAGTTATTTATTGCAATTCAAGTCCAATGAAGAGCTTGAAATGGTACAAAGGTAAAAACTGAACAGCCAGAGGTAAAAAAAAAAAAAAAAAGATACAAAACACAAGTCCAAGCTCTGCCAAAGCTACCTCAGGAAAAAAGAACAAGATGGTAAAGCTTGAAAACTTGACAGTGTCCAGACTTAAACCCCATTGAGCTGGTTTGGGATGAACTGGACAGAAAAGTAAAAGCCAAGAAACCGACAAGTGCCACACATTTATGGGAACTTCTGCAACAGACTTGGGAAGAACTTTCTGAAGAATATTAGATTTTTGTTGTAAAAACAATGAGCCATGAGTGTGTTCAGCTGTTA